CCGGTGAACATAATCAATTCGGCAAGCCTGTACTCAGATCCTCTTATCTGCAGGTAATTAAAAGTGGAACGTAGTTGCGCTTTTACGAGAATTCCGTTAAAATTGTTGCTACATAACATTTTACAACTCATGGCTGCTAACAGCTAGCAGTAAACACTATCTTACAATAACAGTCGTACACTAATATTTAATGTTTCGGGGCTTCGTGGTCCCGTTTCTAAATTCTTCTCACCGTTAATTGGGGGTTGAAAATGGCTATTGAACTAGTAAACGATCTCAAGTCAGCGACTCATGCATTTTAAAATTCCCAATATTAAACTCATTATAATGTTTGTACAATTTCTGATGCTTAAAATGTTTTGGCTGCCAGGTTAAGATCAAGTCAGGTCATATCATATCAGGTCAGATTTCATCACCAAGTTGCATCAATTGCCCCAAAAATTGTTCCAAAAATGAATTAACTTACAACCGATGTGGGCACTGATAATGAAAACATTGTTAAAATTGATCTAAGTATATTTATTTAGACAAAATTTACTTTTCTCCGGAAACACAATCAGTTCAATAAGTTCAGATTCACAAACTATAAGATTTAATTCTGCCAATTTTGTTTTCACAATTTCCCTATGTTCCTATCGGATAAGCTGTTTTTACTTGATTAATAAAACCTATTGATTCATTCGTTAATTTTTCTAGGATATCCTGTATAAATAGTTTTCAGAAACTAGTCAAAGGCTATTTCAACAGGATTTCCTACGCTCCTGAACTACAGACCAACAACCGCTTTTGAAATATTTATACTATGAAATTTGATTTTTAAGCTTTTATTTATGATAATTGATAAGGATAACCTCTATACATTAAAAGAAATCTAGATAATACCAATAACTATAGTGTAAGAAACTAAATGACATGATCTTTTGACAACTTAGAAATTTATTTTTGAACCCTACATTTTTTTTTGTTTGTCTACGACGTGCAACTATTTTTTTAAATGACATCCTTGTAGAGCTTGTTTTTCTTAAATCGCTAATATTTCATACTTTAATCACCCCCATACCGCCACTGACTTTGATTCCAACGAATTATCTTTCGAAAACAAACTCTGTTAACTTGTTTATATTTGGTTTGGAATGCACTTTTTCGCCCGGATTATCAACCTACAATTTTAGGAAAATTAGATAAGCTATTGTTACGAAGGAAATCCATACGCCGCCTCGGTACGACGTCTAGCGTTCTAGCCGGAGAAAAACCTGGAACCGGAAGTCGCGATGGACAATCCAGAAAGACCTCGACTGCGGAATTTTTAGAAGGAAAGTATGGCTTTAAACAGAGGCCACCTTCGGTTGATTATTATTCAGTTGATTCAGTCAGCGAGGGGTCCAGTGAACGAATTCATTCAAGTTTCGCCGGAATTATTTTGTACATAATCGCTGTGTAATCAGTCGTATAAATCTGAGTTATTAAGGAATAAATTGTCGAGTTTTACTTCATCAATAAAACCTATTTCTATTTTCGTTAATTTTTCTAGGATACACTGTATAAACAGTTTTAAAAAACTGGTCAGAGGTTATTTCGATAGGAGTTCCCTCGCCTCTGAAGTACAGACCAATAAATCCCGCTTCTTTGAAAAATTATAAAATTTTATTTTACTAGCTTTTATTTACGTATCATAAGGATAACCTATATACATTAAAAGAAATCTAGATAATACCAGTAATAGTGTAAGAAACTAAATGACATGATCTATTCACACGCTATAAATATCTTTTGGTACCCTATATTTCTTTGTGTTTGTCTGCGATCTGCAGCTGTTTTTTAAAAAATGACAACCTGTATATTCTTTTAGAAGTTCTTGTAAAGCTTGTTTTTCCAAATTCATTATACTATTTTAATCACCCACACTTCGTCACTGGTTTTGATTACGTTACGAAAACAAACTCTGTTAACTTGGTCTGGAGTGCACTTCTCAATTTATTTTGGGAAACGGATTTACAATTGCTCCAAGAATATATACAAATGCACTAATAAAGCACAAGTCTACGTTTATATTTCTAGTGAGTTTTCCATTCGAAAATGTTCCGAACAACATTTCAACAAAAACACGTATGTCAATTGCAACACGTGCAGTGTAATACTAATAATAAAATAATGAGGTGACGGTTTTTAATTTGATAAAAAAATGTAGATAAAAGCAGTAACACTGTAAGAAAAAAAAACGTGCGCCATCTTCGCGTTACGAAGTTAGAAAACTGTACGTAATGAATTGACAAATAATCTTGTAGGAACTTCGCTGAATATTAATGGAAAAAGTTGCTATATCATTTCGTTTTTTTTTTGTAAAAATTTGGGTGCCTCCACGAAAACTTCAAGTCGGATGCATACACTACAAGTATAGGTATATGTTATTATATATAATTTAAATACCACTTACTACAAAAAATTTAGAGGGGACGTAATCACATTGTTGGTGGCCATGATTGGAGAAATTTTGGTTAGAGTTTCACCATATAGACAATATTTCTAACATAGATATAAAATTTGGCCATTTGGTTTCGAAGATTATCTAATACAAATTTACGTAGACGGCATACGGCCGACGGACAGAGGGAAACGGGTGACGAATTTTTTCGTACTTTAGGGGTAGTGAAACGTCGAGAAAACATGAAAATAGCCAGTCGCCCTATGGACCCTGTTACAGTAATTCCTTAGCCTGCAATCGAAAGGTAAAAATTAGGAAAATATGAAAACCTATTTGATACATTTCAAATGAGCTTGATTTTGCAAAATTTTGAGAGATTACGTAGTCAAGTTTGTGGAAGGAGTTGACAAAAATATAATAGCGTAATCATACTAGTTCTATAGAGTGCTTAACACCTTTTATTAAATTAGTGGGTGCTTTCAAAACAAATGATTTTACGAATTCTGATTATAAAAATCTTACTGTAAACTAAAGCGCTTTTTCAGTAATAATAATAGTAATAATAATAGATTTGTTTCCCCAGACATAGCACCCAATAACAAGGAACAATATAAATTAGGTGTAGAAGTAAAAGTAGGAAAAAACAAAACAAAAAATTCGTCGAAAGTTATTTGGACAGAACTTTCCTCGCCCCTAAATTACATCGAATATCCATGCTCGGCGTTACTAATTACACATTGCGAATTTTTCGAAAATATTGATGCTTTAAGAAAAACTCAAAGCTTATTCATGAACCACAAGTGTAAATAAGTAATCTTAATATTCAAATTCTTGAGATGGGGGTGATTAGACAAATTTTCGTTTGCGTTTGACTACCTATATACATGATATTCTTAACATACATATGTATATATAATTTGACAACAATCTGTCCGGTAATTTCGGAGGTTATCTGTCTGATGAAAATCGACATTCAGGATAGACGACAGACAGACAGAAACACGGGGACCTACTTTTTCCGAGTCTAGGCACCACGAAACGTTGACATAACATAAAAGTAGGCATTCATCGGATAGATCTTACAATAAAAATATAAATATTTTTAACTGATTAAGGGCCGGTTTATCAATGCTCAGTTAAAAGTGTCTGTTAAGTAACTGTCAGATAAGGGTAACTAGCAGTTAACGGAGGTAAAGTGTTTATCAATGCACGATGTTTCTTCCAGTTTCGTAGCTCGAAGTTTAGCTGTTACTCTCTTAAGTTGGTAACGCTCACCTTACCGGAAATGAGTTGTCATTGGTCAGGTCAAAACTACCTCGTATTAATGAACTTTTAAAATTCCATCAGATTCAATGTGCATTGGGTATTCGATAATTGTGCAGTGTGTTTCACGTGATTAGTGTTGTGATAACTGTCATAATTAAGTTTATTTTCATTTAATATTTGTCATTGAGTTAGTGGCTGGCATAACATCGTAAGTAGTAAAATAAATAATTATTTTTGTATTAGTAAAATCTGAGATCATAATATTGAAGTGGCATCATTAAAAGACACGAGGAGCGAATTTTTCTGCCAGTGAGAGGCAACTCTTGCTACAAATTCTAAACAGTAAAAAAAATGTAATTGAAAACAAACAAACAGATGGGGTGACGTGGCGAGCGAAGGACACTGCGTGGCTCAACATAGAACAAGAATTTAATGCCGCAACAAATGGACCAGTAAGTTTATCCTTAATCATATTTAGGTACCAATGTTCAATATCTAATTTGTTTTATTATTGTGTACAGCGTAGAAATTACAAGCAACTTAACTATAAGTATGAAGCTATAAAAAAGGAAATTAAAAAACAACATAGCCAGGTAAAATATTACCGCAGAGGCACAGGTGGTGGCGAACATCGGAAATCCCCAAAACCAAATACGGAAGAGGAAAAGGAGTTGATGGCAACTATAAGGATTTCCATGGATGGTTTGGAGTCCACATTTGATTCCGATGCGTGTGCAGGTAATTGCAATGATTCTATGTGAATTTTTTCAACATTTCAAATTCAATTTTAATAGGTATATCTGGTATCGACTGTGAAAAAGTTGCCGGTCACAGAACAGCAAGAATCTGCTGAACTAGAAGTAGAAGTTGACTGGTCACAACCAAACACCAGTTTTCTTCAAACGCCAGTACACCCAGCGCTATCGCTGCCACCCCCACCTGAAATTGTAGATGACGAAGAGGCCATTAGCAGCCATCAAAAAGGAACTTCTGCATTTGCAACAAACAGTAAGTGCTCCAATATAACAAAACAACAACGTAATAATATACACTTAATTGCAGATTCATGGGTAGGCAGAAGAAGACCCATAATTAAAAAAAAAATCAATGATGTCTGTGAGCGGAAAATTTGAGGCATTGGCGGAGCAAAAAATGGAGCTTGTTAAGCTCCAAAGAGAAATCGCTGAAACAACGCTAAAACACATGCAACGGGAGCACGCAATGAAAATTAGCTTTAGAAAAAGAATATTGGCAGTTGAAAAAAAAAACAAATACCTGAATAAATATTAGATAAGTCTTTTATTTTTGGTACCTACAATAAACCTGGCACATAATCAGCTAATAATAAGTCTCTTGCATTTCTCACATTTTCTCGGTCTATTGGTTCTAGAACATAGTCCTCATCAAAATTAATATCTTCATAATTTTGCTCCGGATCCATGGGCGGTTCATTTTCATTGTTATTTAGAGCTATGTTATGTAGTACAGCTGTTGCAACAATGACAGCTAGAGTAGTTTCCAACTTTAACCTCAGCCCTAAAGAAAGAATTGGAAATCTTCTTTTCCAAACACCATACTGCCTTTCCACAGGGTTACGAGTTCTCGTTACTTAAAACAATTCGTATGAAATAACATCCATTAACAGTAATAGTGCAAATACCTGCTTCATTGTATACTTCCTCAACTTCAGTTCTAGTTCGAATCAACGGTGTAATGACGTGCATATTATTGCCATATCCACTGTCAGCCACTAGCAGAGTGTTGTTTCCAAACTCATTATTTTCCAGTCGCCTTTTTATTGCAGAATTATCAAATATCGTTTGATCATGGCAAGATCCAGGCCATCTTGCCACTATGTCCAATATTTTCAGATTGGCTGAAGCAACAGTTTGAACATTTATTGAAAAATATCCTTTTCGATTCCTGAACAGCTCGGCATTAGGTCCCCCTACAATCAGTGCTACAGTCATAAAGTATGTTACTAAAGTAACAGCAGGGTGAACATACCTGGAGATTGTATTTTAACATGTGTACAGTCGAGAGAGCCGATAACCCTTGGAAGTAAGGCTTTTTCATAAAATTGCAACTGGATTTGCTGCTGGTCATTCTGATTTTCAGGCATTTTGATAAATGTATGTGATAAACTAGCAATAGCGTTGCTCACTCTTTTTATAATATTTGAAACAGAACTTCTACTTATATCATAAAACTCAGCCATCGTTATTAAAAAACTACCTGTTGCATAAAACCGCAGAGTTAGTAATAATTGATCTATGGGTCTTATAGCATGATTTCTGCAAACAAGGTCATTAGCATATCAATTAATCATCAAACATCACGTCCTGTGATGTTCTACCTGTCTGTTGGGGTTTCCAATCGATTATCAACCAACTCCAAAATTGAAAGCACTGTATTTTTTGTCAATCGAAATCTAACAACAAAGTCCGTATCGTCCCACTTTTCGAAATGGTCCGGTCGTTGATCGCTTACTTTATAAGGTCGCCTTTCATGATTGATAAATTCCACAATATCTTCATCATCACTCCAATCATTTTCTAAAATGTCCATTGCTAACAAATCTAAAAAAATATATTGTGTTAATTATTACGAAACGAAAAATGATTATTATAATGTTACTTACCTGTTTTAATTATAACTCAATCTTTGTAATATTGTTAAACTAACAACTGATTTATTTGGATTTGTTAGGTTATGTTGCCACTAACTGGTGGATAACGCTTTAACTGACAGTTTGAACTGTCAGTTAATTTATCTGGCACTTTGACCACCAGTTTTGAGCTAGCGGGTAATGATAAACAGGTTAACTCACAGACAAGCGTTAACTGCCAGTTACTTTAACTTAACTGCGCATTGATAAACCGGCCCTTAGGGGATTATTGCGATAGGAAAGAACTAACCTATATTTCTATAGACGAATTTAAGTCATATCATAATTTATGTCTCAAAGAGGCAAATTTCAAAATAATTTAGCAATGTCGCATGAAGATGTCCAATGGTGATGTCGCAAAAATCTAATGGATATTAAAAGCTTTGTCGTTGTGCGACGTCGCTAAATCAACTTGAAATTAGCCTCAAAGTCTGCTAACTGAACTAAAATTGTTTCACATAAGTATGTTGACGATCCAATTAATACGTTAATTAGTGCATCTGGTGTTGACTAAGTTATGCTCAGGTATACACAGCGGCGGAATTGAGATAAATCAATTTATAAACTTAATTAACTAATTTTTTCTTCAATAATTATTGACTTTGCTATCAATTATTATTAAATGTTTTGTAACATTTATTGCATGTAAGCTTTCAAATTCTTCAAGAGAGATAACAAAAAGTTTAAAAATCAGCAAAAAAATGCCTCTACATGACAATAATAGTAACCATCAGGTTAACATATAGCAGGAAGAGTGAGGGTCCTAGAAGTAAAATGTCAAAAAAATAGTTGTGATATTTAACAAAAAGTATTCTGTTAAAAAGGTAGAATCAAATACTGCTCTAAATAAAACAAATTTAGTTTACTGATTAGAATGTGGTCGTCAACTTAATCAAACACCTTTATAAAATGCCTTTGATATACATTGACTAGAACAGGCAAGATTTGTAACAGTGAATGCACTTGCTTAAAGAAAAACATGTTGTAAAGACGTAATGAAAGATTTTTGGAAAGTTGCACAATAAGCAGATGAGATAAAAAGGGATTCAAACGTTTCTTTAAAATAAGCATCACTACATCAGAAATTACTCGAAAGTTTTGTAATGCTTGTGGAAAATATCTGAGAGTGAATATGTTGGAAATTCTCAAAAATTTTCTTCTCATCAAGTAAGCTTGAGCAGTTGTAATAATTGCGTCAGAAATATATACATTAAGTTTGTACTCAACGTGTGTAACACTTATTGACTCCAAATAAGTAATTCCTAAATTCCAAAACGGTACAAAAAAGTGTCGTCAGAATTCTTAGAATATGTATACAACCGACAAAGCTAATTGAATGAAACATGTTTAGTAATTTGGCTCTTGTTTGGATTCTTTATTTTTTCCGCTAGTGGGAAGAGTAATTCCTTGCGCACTAGTGCAGAACTACAGTTTATATCCTGCCCCTTAATTCCACTCAATTAACCGGGAAAAGCGATTTTTTTACGCGGTGATAAAAGAAGACTCACACTACAAGAATGTAGAATATAATAGGTGTGTTATTCCTCGCAAAAACTTTCTGGAAATAAAATCTTCACCTGTAGTCACTACAAGACCAAACAGTGTTGTAAAGGCTAAGAATGAAGATAAATTCACATCAAAGGTATCTTTACATACTTTGTTTGAAACTACTCTATTACACATACAAATATGGTAATATAATCGCTAAGGACACGTAGGAGGTATTGTCTTCTTTTGGTGTCCAACACTGACTTTTTAAAATTAACAAATAATTACAGGATTTCCTTAACAGGTAGAATTTGAGCTTTGATTTGTTTCTCAGCTTTCACCATAATAATGTATGCCGTCACATCTTTCATCCTTGTCATGACATAATAATTTACATTTCTAGACCACACCAACAAGATAACCGCCTTTTCTTAAGACAGTTAATTTTAATAACAAACGTTAATCATAACCATAAAGCTTTACATAACAAATGTGAACATTCATATAAACTTGAAACTTTAAGTAAAATAATAATTTTGATCACGCTTTCTTCACAACACACACTTATTAGATATGCAAGTGTGATTGGGTGCTTTTTATTGTAATTTGTTTTGGTATTCTTTGATCCAACGATGTGGAGCAGGATCTAATCCTTTCAAAAATAAGTTTGACGTGTCTAAACTAGACTGAAAAAAGAAATGCAAAAAAGCTCTTCGTTTGATAGTAGGATATTGATTTCGATTTTTAATTAATATCTGTGTCAGTTTCTCTTTCATGTACACCACCGCGAATTTCGTTTAACCAAATATGAGGTAGTAGGTAGATGTTTCGTGTTCAAACATAATAATTGATTTATCATTTTGGTTATTTGGAAGTTTTTGCTTATACAGTAAGCTTTGTAATTTTCGATGTTCTAATTTGAAAGTCGAATTCATATAGTGACAACTATGACTAAAGTTACGCATACGACCAAAAGCTTTGGCAATTAGCCACTTTCATGACATTCGTTTTACACAAGCTAAGTTACCAGCATTTCCATTTTAAAAAATATAAAAATCCGGTAGGAAAGTCCCGTGAATTGCTAAATGTTAAAGTAGCAATCAATCATTCAAAAATGGCAGTAGCAAACGTCCCCTTCTACCACAGTATTTAAAATTTAAATAATTTTTTTGTTGTAGTACTTCATAATAAAATTCGGACTATTCATATTGTCTGCAAGAGAGTGCAATTGTTGAAGCTGCAAACTATTCTACTAATACCTCATTTCAAAGATCTTTCAATCGCAAATGCCGCCCACGTGATTTTTGTTTGAAAGAATTTCCATAAGTTTCATCGATTTAAATCACGCGAATACGATAAAATGAGACATTTTTTAAATTAAAAGTTCAAAGTAAATATCATTTACTTCCTTAGCAACCAAGTTAAGCAGAAATAAGCTTTTTTTACCTTCTAGTCTGTCTCGAATATTTTATTTATAACAGAGGTTAATTTCATTTAAGATTTTGATTGATCAGTTGTGAGGCTATTTCTTTTTAACGCATAACCACTATGATGGTTTTAATTAAAATTAAAACGACGTTCATCAGAGACATCAGGCAATGCACCTAGCTCTTTATAACTTCATGTTATTTAAAATTTATGGAAGCTGCCATATTAAAATTTCTTTTTGTTTGAAAAATATACTTCAGGGATCATGCTAAATTAATAATCAAAAAAGTATTTCTGTAGACATTACAAACTACCGTTTTACTACCAGTGATTATAAGGTTCAGTCGGGGCTATTTCTTATTTATTTCAGCGTACAAATGGTCTTAAAATGTCGTTAAACAAAGATTAAAAGAATAGATATGGACATTTAAGTGAAATTTTTTCATAACGTATTTTTAAAAATCAATATTATTATTATTTAAAGAAATTTCGGAACACGGTTTTGAACATTGTTTTCAGTTTACAAAACTCTAGAAATCACATGAGATATCTCGTCGACTTTTTTTGTCAGAAACAGTACACATTAAAAAACTTGTGTCGTAAAAGCTGTTAAACGTTCATTTTTACTATATCTCAGTTTCAATACGATTTCTAAAGTTGTGTAAGATGAAAACAGTGGTGAAAACTGCGTTTCAAAATTTTTATACACAACTGAAATAGTGATTTTTTAAAATACGTGATGCAAATATTTCAATAAAATTTAAAAAAAATATGATAAACACTTTAAAAAAACTGCCCCTGCATTAGTATATAGTGAAAGTTGTGGACAGGTTACATTTAAAATTTCATTACAATAAGTGTGTTAATAATGGAGATATTACATTCTGAAAATATGTTGACAACGCCATAAAAACCGTAGCGACTGCTAAAGCATTTCAATAGCAAAAATGACTTGTACAGACATAAAACGGTTAATTAATCAAAGCAATGTTTTAAATCAAAAGTGTACAAATACGTGCAATATTCTGAGGATGTTAACCTTATTAACCAAACATGTCGGTATTTTGTGACATTATTTGTATGATATTTCACTAATATAACATTAAATTTCGCTAAGACAGTCTAACAACAATGATAAAATTCCACCAGTTTTCTAACATTTAATTATTGCGCTATAAACACATTAAAAAAATCACACACATTTTTTTCTGATAATTTAACATCAGCGCTGTGATCAAAGCCACAATATTAACATCAACATCATTTACACCGACATTTATATTACTCTCACAGAAATCCATACCAACATTTTTTTTATAACTAACATGCCTTAATTATTGAAAATATACAAAAAAAAAACACAGTTAGTAGATACATTTCTGAAATGATAATTTCGAAGACTCCACAGTCAAAACGACATTTATGCAGAAAACAGTCAGGGTTGACGTCCACTCCTCAGAGCATCGACACAAATACATTAATGACTCTTGTAATGTTCGACAATATAACCAGTGATCAAATTTAATGACAACTAATTTAAAAATTTTTATTGATCGGGTCTGACGCAATTAATTGGTGTTTGAGGTATGTTCTCTTACTGTGAATGACCAGTTAAAAGTTTTTACAGCAGACCAACTGTACTTAAGTTGTTGCTAAGTATTCCACCGTAAGTTCGGTTCGAGTTAACAAACGAAGTGGATCGTTAATTCCCAAAACCACGATTTCCATGTTTCACTTTCTTATAAAGCAAAAAGGAGCATGAAAGCTCGCGTAATTCCGAAAAAATGACCCATTTATCGAAACAATAAATCATCTGCAGTCAACACTGCAATTTATCTCCGATCTAAAATCAAACTTGTTAATTTTATTTCAGGCAGGAAAGCTTTTCCGTGCAGGCGACCAAATCGATTCGCTTTGCCCACGGTATATTATATTATTCTCGTTTCCATTCCTTTCATACACAACCGTGACATTGGAGTGTGCGGAAATGAACATAATTGTTGAGCAGTCGGCGCAATAGGATGTTTCAAAAGACGGATTTTATATCTGACCTTAGTATTAGCAAAAGCTATTGAAATTGACGCAGCTACAGAGCAAACATATTTCGGAAAAATTC